CCCCCCCCGGTCTTGTATAGCCTCTCTTGTTTTTTATAAAAAAAAATAATAATAAAAAATAAAAAAAGAGAATATTGAATCAATGATTCTAGCCAAACCAGGAGGTCTCCAAGGGGATTCAACTCGTAAACTAGACATATAACACCTCCGCTTCAATTAAAGCACCGTTGGATTGCACCTCTAATTAACATAGCCTTTTTCTGGGTAAATTGCAGAAACCTTCCATGAAGTTTCTGGTTGTTGTTGATACTTTTCCTGAATTTGGTAATTGGCTTCACTTTCTCTGGACTTTCTGACATAGTTGCAAGTAGACTCTTTGGATAAAATCTTCTGAAAAGAAACATTAAAATGTCCAAAATATCCATATATTTACTTTGACAAAAATGTTTATTTTAGAGATTTCCTATTCATACAAATCACTATCCCAAATTCTTCCGATCTCTTTTTTAAAATTGATTTATTTTCTAATTTTCCCTTTATATCAATCATTCATAGGTAAAGTTGCAATTTTAATTTCTTTTGTTTTTATTGTTCATAAAATTTGTATTGTTTTTTATGTAGAAACTAATCTCAATAGTAACTTTATGGGTATTTTGAACATTCCTATGCCTTTTTTTAGAAGATTCTATTGAAGGAGATCTACTTGCAACTGTACCAAAATGTTAGGAGAGGTGATTACAATTATTAAACTCTAGGAGAGGTTTCAGCAATGGTAAAAAACTTCAGTAGAAGTTTCAACAATTTGTTCAAACCTAACTAAGAACAACTCTACCCTATCTATCCATTAAAAATAAAATTCAAGTCTTCACAGAGAAGTACGTGGGGCACTCAATTATTTCTCTACCCTATCAACGCTTAATAATTAGAGAAGGAAAAATTAGATTTGTTCATGCATGTAAATAAATATGATGAAAGTACATGGGACACTCAATTATTGCCCTTCTCAGACTTGTTCAAATATTGTGGGAATAATATTCTACTATTACCAATTAGGAAAATCTAAAATTCAAATATAGAAGGATAATATTAAATTAATACGACGAAAATTACCAAATTGTAAAATTACCTTGTTATATATCTTAGTCTTCCCTCTGCACGCTGGTTTTTCTTTAGAATGCATGCCGTTTCTTTGAAGAGCACCGAAGGTATGAAATTTTTTTTCTCTTTTTTCTTTTCCAAGAGTTTTGTTGATAATGGAGAAAACCTCTGATGAGATTTCTTTTGTTATGGAGTCAAATAAGATCACTTTGTTTTAATTTTTTTTTCTTCTTTTATATAAAATTTTGATTCTCCTATAGTGAAAATCCCTCAAAGATCAAATCAAATAGTCCGTTGCCTACAAAAAGAATAGGTGAGATTTACTTTGATCCATCATATTCTTCTTCTTCTTCTTCTTCTAGATCTTCTTCTTCTTCTTCTTCTTCTTCTTCTTTTTTTAGATCTTCTTCTTCTTCTTCTTCTTCTTCTTTTTTTAGATCTTCTTCTTCTTCTTCTTCTTCTTCTAGATCTTCTTATTCTTCTTCTTCTTCTAGATCTTCTTCTTCTTCTTCTTCTTTTAGATCTTCTTCTAGATCTTCTTCTTCTTCTTCTTCTTCTAGATCTTCTTCTTCTTCTTCTTCTTCTTCTTCTTCTTCTAGATCTTCTTCTTCTTCTTCTTCTTCTAGATCTTCTTCTTCTTCTAGATCTTCTTCTTCTTCTTCTTCTTCTTCTTCTTCTTTTGATAAATTAAGATGATTTCTAAGTCTTGCATGTATTATTTTCGACCAGAAATTTATTTCGGAATTATCTATAGTCTAGAACACGGTATATAGTTTGAGAGAATGATAGAAATGCATGTATGAAAAGAAATTATATAATTTAGATTAATTGTACTCTCATCTTAGCAATCTACCATATCTCTAATGTTCCCTTTTTGAACATTATGATCTAACTAAAGATGTGGTAAAGATATAAGTTGATGAAATCAATTAAGAAAGCTTAGAGAACACTATGTCTCCTTTTTATTTATTTATTTTTTTTTGAGCTTAGGGTTGTGGGAAATAAAATGACCAAAAAAAGTATTGAGCATTTTGTAACAGTTGTTTTTAAAAACATAACCATATAAAGTCAAAGCAAAACACTTTTATTCTTCTAGGGCACAAAGACTAAAATTGGGGCTTTGTACTTTTGCACTTTAAAAGCACAAACCCTAAGTTTATCCAAACAAGAAAACAAGACCCTAATTTAATAGAAAATAGCTTGGATGATAAAAAATGGTGGGGAGCAGATATTCTCAAGATATAAATATATATATATATATATATATATATATATATATATATATATAGCATTTGTGTATATATGTGTGCAAATACATATTTTATCAATAAATAGTGTATAAATATGTTTTACATATAATATATGTATTATTTTATATTTTATTTATATTTTTAACTCACATTTAGTTTTTATGTTTATAAAAATGTCAAGAATTATGCTTTAAGGACAAAAAAAGGGTTTTTTCCACAAAAAAAATAATAGGGCAAGGCACCCATGACACCTTATGATGCATAGATCTTGAAAAGTTACCTCAGTTGGGCATTCGAGTGCAAAGTTATGGCATCTAAAAGTTTGCACATGCATTAAGTATGCAACTTGAAACCATTGATTGGGTCGAATAGGTCAACAGTTGAACCCTCTAAATTAGGTGTTTTTTACCAAGTCAACGGTTTTTTACCAAGGGGTGGGTTTCAATAGAATTAGACCCGGAATCAAAGTCAGGTGACGGTTTGAACGATTCAACCAAACGGGTCAATGGCGGGTTGTTAACATTGGTATCAGTTTGGGCCGATTTTCAATTTGATTGGTTGGTTCAAAAGATTTAAACATAAAATGTTATAATTATAAAAGAACAAATTTAAAAATTTAACTTTACAATATAAAATATCTTAGACTAAGAAATATGAGAATTTACCCACTTATTTAAAAAATATTTATTTGAATTATAAAATATTAATACATAGAAATATAATCAGGTTGGTTAAATTTTATAATTATAAAATATTTTGGTTGGTTTACAAATATTTATAATTAGGTTGGTTGAGTTTTGGTCGGTTTACAAATGGCCAAAGCGAAACTAATTTGACTTGGTCAGGTTGGGAAATTAATGAACCAAAGCCAACCAAAAATACTAAAAAGTGACCAACTCAGTTCAAGCTAGGTCAATTTGGTTAGTTTTATTAGTTTGATTAACACCCCTAGATGAAATCAATTATTGTTATTTATGTATTGCAAAAAAAATTAATAAAAAACATTATATAAAATATAAATAAATATTAATTATTTAAAATTTAAATTATAAAATAATTGTCTACTCTTATGTATTTCTATTATTTAACTTTCACTTAACAAAGTTCATGCATCGCATTGATCCCGCTAGTATATACTAAAGTAGAACATGCCACATGTTAGATGGCCCCTCCTTGCTCCATTACCCTAACAAAGCAATTCTAGGAGGGGTTCAAAATTGCCTTTAGAAGCCCATGGAGTTGGCACTTGAACATGGCTCATCTCCCTTTCTCATCTCCTTTTTATTAGGAAACTAACTATTCTCCACTTTATCCTAAATTATCTCTGACTATCTTTAATTCCTATTTATCTCTAAAATTATCACTAATTCTTATTTATCCTCTCCCCACTTTTCATCTATATCTATTGAAAAAAGTTTCAATAGAAAATTCAATAATTATTTAAATATACATTATTTAATTATTATGTAATAATAATATAAATTATAATTATATGGATTATTTAATTTAATAAAAAAATAGTATTTTAAAAATAAAAATAAAAATCAATTAAATGTTATTCAAATAATAAAAATTAAAATTAGAAAATAAAATATTATTTAACTATTTCAATAACTAAATATTTTAAATAAAAAATATTAAAAATAGCTAAATAATTGTATAACAATAAATTTAATATTATGTAATAGCTTGAAAGGAAATAAAATTTAAATATTTTACATATTATAGAAATATTTAACATAACGAAATTTTAAATAGTTAAAATAACGAAATAATGTAATAATAGTATAAATTATAATTCCATGGATTATTAAATTTAATAAATTATTAATATTTTAAATACTTTAAAATATCAAAACATTAATAACTAAATCATATTTTATATAATATTTCAAAAACAAAAAAACAGATTAAATAACAAAATCATGTTATAACTTTAAAATAAAGATAAAAAACATAAAATAATTAATAATTTAATAATATTTGATAATAAGAATATAAAATATACGTATTTTAAAAATAAATAATATTATAAATAACTAATTTTTAAATGTTCTAAATATCAAAAAATTAATACTGAATCATATTTTAAATAGTATTTAAAAAAACAAAAAATAGATTAAATAATGAAATTATGTATTAACTTTTAAAATTTATCAAAGACAAAATTAATTATAATAGATTGAATAATATTTGATAATAAGAATATAAAATATAAATAATTGGAAAAAATATATTATTATTGAAATAGTGAAAGTAGATAAAATAACTTAGAGGTATTGAAGTTTTATTAGTTATTTGTTGTATTTTCACAATAAATTTTCAATGATTATTGGAGATTAAACTATTTTTATTTGTTAGAGAATAGATTATCAATTTAGTTGAAATTAGGAGTGCTCAATAGGTGGTTCAATTCAATTGCAAATTGTTTGGCTAACCAAACTGATATGATTGGGTTGGGTAGTTGGTAACTCGAAGCTAACCAACCATTAATGAAAACCGACCAACTTGAGTTGTACCAGCCAATGTTTTAAAAACCGACCCAGAGACCGACCCACTTTTGCTTCTAGGTCGTAGTTATCAGTTCAATTGTCCTAGTCAAACGAGTTAGACCATTCCATGTCAGTACTCTATATATTTATATACATATATAAATATGCATATATGTATAATTATGTGTGCGGATACATATTTTATCAATAAATAGTATATAACTATGTTTTACATATATTATTTTACATTTTATTTATATTTTTAATTCAGTTTTAATTTTTTGTTTATAAAAAATGTTAAAAATTATGATTTAAGGAAATAATAAGGGTTTTTCACAAAAATAGTGGAGCAAGGCACCCACATCACCATAGGATCAATAGATCTTGAAAAGTTACCCAAAAAAAAAAAAAAGATCACCTCAATTAGACAACAGAGTGCAAAGTTACGGCCTATAAAAGTTTGCACATGCACTGAGTTGGATGGTTTTCATGAAGTCAACGGTTTTGACCAAAAAGCAGGTTTCACTAAAACTAGACCCAAAATCAAAGTCGGGTGATAGCTTGAATAGTTCAACCAGCTGGGTTAGTGGTGGGTTGGAAAATATTAGTATCAGTTTGGGCTGGTTTTTAGTTTGGTTGGTCGTTCAAAATATTTAAACTTAAAAAAAATAAATTACATTTAAAAATATAATGATTTTATTAAAGAACAAATTTAAAAATTTAAGTTTATAATGTAAAATATTTTAAACTAAGAAATATGGGAATTTTTCCCACTTTCTTGTATTAAAAAATTATATTTAAAATATAAAATATTAATATATATTTATAATTGGGTCGATTCAATTTTGGTCAGTTTACAAATGGCTAAACCAAAACTAACCCAACTTGGTTGAATTAGGAAATTGCTAAACCGAAGCCGACCAAAAATAGTAGAAAGTGACCAACTCGGGTTGAATTGGGTTAGTTTGGTCAGTTTCATCAATTTGATGAACATAGCTAAACGAAATTAGTTATTGTTATTTTTTGTATTGCAAAAAAAATATTTAAAATAATATATAATATCAATAATTATTAAATATTTAAAATTAAATTATAAAACAATTGTCTACTCTCATGAATTTCTATTATTTAACTTTCGCTTAACAAAGTCCATGCATTGCATAAGTCCCTGCTAGTATATATACTAAAACACAACAATCTAGAAATTTTTTCCTTTCTTTGATTTTTTTATTTTTTATTCTATATCATTTTTTAAACAACCAATGAGATGTTCTCCTTACCTATAAAATATTACCTAACATCTCTCTCTCCCCTACATGTTCCCAATAACCTAAATAATATCCTCTTATATCTATCTAAAGAATGTTTGAATTAAAAATTTTAAAAATTATTTAAATATTCTAACAAAATTTTGTAATAACTTTAAAATATTTATTAAAAACACATAAAACAATTATAATAGATTTAATAATACTTATATTATTAATGATTTTATTTTTTCTTACAAAATTCATCACTAAATTATGTACTAAGAATATAAATTATGGTTTTTTGGATCACTCAAATTAAATGTTGTTCAAATAATAAAAAATTGGCATTTAAAACTAAAATACTATTTAAATATTTCAATAACTAAATATCTTAAATAACAAAATATTAACAATAGATAAATAATTATATAACAAAATATTTAATATTATGTAATAACTTTAAAATAAATAAAATTCAAATAAAAAAATATGAAATATTTTATATATTATTCATTTATTTTAACTAATGAGATATTTAACATAAATAGATTTTAAATAGTGAAAATAATGAAATTATTTAATAAATTTTAAAAATTCTTAAAACTAGAAAAATAATTATAACATGATATTCAAATTAATAATAATTTAATATTTTGCAAAATTAATGACAAAATTATGTAATATATATGTAGTATAAATTATAATTTTATGGATGATTAAATTCAATAAATACTTAATATTTTAAAATTTAAATAATGATATTATTTAAATAATTAAATAATATTATAAATAAATAATTTCAACTATATCAATTAATAATTCTATAATATAACGTTCAAAAAATTAACATTTAAAATCTTAATATTTAAATAGTATCTTAGCCTATATTTATTATATATTTATATATACGAAAATTAATGTTTATTGTATTTTCATTAATTATTTATTTTTTGTGATAAATATATTTTCAATAATTATGTATAAATGATTTTTTGTTATTTAACAGAAAATTTTCAATAATTATTGGAGATTAAACTATTTTTATTTAAATTTTTAAATTTAATTTATTGTACTTATTGTATTTATTGTATAGAATATTTTAGATTGAGATTAAAATTGTATTTTTTAGATATTGAATTGTCGTACTTATTGTATTTAATTTATTGTACATATTGGTTTGGTCAGTCGGTTCAAAAGATTTAAACTTAGAAATAAATTTAAAATTAAAAAAAAATATAATGAAAGATTGAGAAATATGGGAAATTTTATATTTATTATATAGAATATTTTAGATTGAGAAATATGGGAAATTTTCCACTTTCCCATATAAAAAAAGATTAAAAATATAAAATAATAATATATATCCATGTTCAAGCCATTTGATTTTGGTTGATTTACAAATGACCAAAGCGAAACTGATCCGACCTGGTCAGGTTGGGAAATAGTTGAACCAAAGCCAACCAAAAATACTAGAAAGCCGGTTGAGTTGGTCAGGTTGATCGGTTTCATTAGTTTGATGAACAACTATAGCTGAAATTAATTATTGTTATTTTTGCATTGTAAAAGAATTATTAAAAGTAGTATATAAAATATAAGGAAAAATCTATAATTCATGAAAGATATGGTATTAGAAGAGTTTTGACCAATCATAATCCATGCATGAATTTTGATAATAACACCTGATTGGCTACCACGTTTATGATACCATTTGATTGGTCAAAACTTTTCATATATCATATTCGAACCCAAAATATAAATAATTATTAATTATTTAAAAAATATAAAACAATTATATATATTTTTGTGTTTCTATCGTTTAGCTTTCACTTAACAAATCCCATGCATCGCACAGGTCCCCGCTAGTATAAGTTTAAAGCATCATAGAAAGGTCATGTTTGGTTCACTAGTATATGTCTCATTCTCTTAATTCTTGCTCATTCTAGGCAAGAATGAATAATATTAAAGTGTTTAGTTATAAAATTCTTGCCACATGTCTCATTCTAGATCTTTTAAGAATGAAAAATCAGTTCATAGCACAAAAATTGAGGTAGCTTTCAGCATGAAAAACAATCATGCCCCATCTTGCTCATTTTCATTCTTTAAAAACTCTATGCCAACAGCCATAAACCGCTGACTTGGGTCTACAAAACCACCACCATAGATGTTTATTGGCAGACTGCCATTAAAACTTATGCCAATAGGCATTGGCTGCCGCCACGACTAAACATCTATGTCAATGACCTTTCATTTATTCTGAATTGTTGACACAGTTTTTTTTTTTCCTTTTTAAGAATGAAATTGAACAACATAGGGCACTTGTCAATTTAGAAAGAATTGATTTTTTAGAAAAAAATGTTTTATATTTTAGAATTTCATCTTTGATAAGAATAAAAAAATGAGAATTGAACCAAACATGGATTATCTTGGATGATGATTTTCTATCCTTACTCTTTTTCTTTTATTTGTTTTAACTTTCAAATGATGCATTTCATATTTAATATTGTTATTGTGCATTTATTTATTTATTTTATTCCCAAGAAAAGTTATTTCTGATTTACCACCATTTATGATTTGTCAATCAATCGTTTTTTGTTGTATTATATTTTTGGCTGTTTGGTAAGCGCGAATAGTGAGAGATGGGGAATACGGCCGTAAAGACATCAAAAAATGACATATTTGGAATCTCGGGTCCTCCAGTTAATACTCATGACTGGTAAGATAATTTCACCCATTAGCTTTGTTGATCCAATCCAAACCTGCTTTGTGATTGCTATTGTACATATGAATTATACTCTCATTACTTACCATCATAATCCTTTTTTTGAACTTTGAAGCCCTAACCCTACTCACAAGTTGTTATTGGTGGTTTTCAAACTAAAATTTTATGTTTTGTTGTTGCTTCATGATTTTAGACTTTCAATAGGAAATTCATCATATTTCATGATAGACTTCAATCATTTGAAGAATTCCTTCTTTCATTTTTGTACTAACATTAAACAAGAAAAGATTAATAAAAAAGGGAAAATTACAGATAGTTACTCTGTACTTTGAGGGTAATGAAACTTAAGAGCCTCAACTTTTAACAACCAAGTACCATGTACTTTAAAAAATCAGCACTCAAGTACACACTATTAATTGATTTAAAAATTCGATTTTGAATTCAAGATTCAATATAATCGAATCAAATTTGGATATCATCTGATTTGATTTGATTGATTATTTAATTCTTATATAATTTATATATAATACATAAATTACATCAATAACTTATATTTATATACTTTATATAAATAAAATATTTATTTTATATTTATTAATTACCTAAAATAATTAATCGGTCAAATTTGAATCAAATCAAATATTCAAATATATAATCAAATTCGAATTCAAATATTGTTTGATTCAATTTGATTTCAATCTACTTACACCCCTAACCATGAGTGATAAATTTTAAAATTCCCATTCATAATTGGAAGTAGGTTGATGCACATTGCTTTAATTGCTTGCATATTCAAGTTTGAAAATAAAATAAGAAAGAATTGAGAGCTAGGGTTTTAAGAACTCAATAAAGTAGAGAAGAAAATGGTCTCATAAAATATGTGAAAGATAGTTTTGGGATTTTAAAATGTTTTAAGAAGCACATAACATCACATGCAGAATGCCAACAATTGGACTTGGCGATGATTTTGAAAGTACAGGATATGTAGTTGTTACAACTTATAATTGAAACTTGAGATATAAAGTGTCATTACTCCCAAAGTACAAACCTGTCTATAATTTCCCACAAAAAAAAAAGGAAATGGTTCTATATGGTTATATAAGTTGAGTTTAGGTTTCCGAGTTAAGAATAAAAGGATTTTATATAAAAAAAGGGTAAATTACAAAGACACCCTATATATGGGTTTAGTGACAATTACTCCTAAACTTTCGTCTATGATAAAGACCTCCCTGAATTTTTACTTTGTGACAAATATCCCCTTCACTAGAATTCCATCAGTTAACTTCAAAAAAGATTTTCATTTATATGTTAAAATTTTTTAAATCCCCAAATTTCCCTTTTTTATTTATTTGAATGGTTTATGATTTGATTAGTTTTCTAAATATAATATTAATGTCCTCTTAGTTGCTTTAATAGATATACATTTAGCGTTTCATTTGATTTTTCTTGATTTATTAGAAAAAGGAGTGGATGATTTTTATATTTAAAGATGAAGAGAGACACTCATATTAGTGAAATGAAACAAGGATTCAAAGAAACATGTTTTTTTGTGTCTGTAAAATGATTCCTGCTATTTTAACTAGTTTTAATGGGAGAAAATAATGGAACTACTTTTGGGTCAATTAGGATTTAAGAGAAAAGGGCGACGAAAAGAAAATAAGGGAAGTTATTGAGGTGGGGTATTTTGATAACTTAATGCATTCTATTGTCTGACTTAATGATCACGGGGAATTTGTCACAAAGTGAAAGTTTGCAGCTGTTTGCTGCAAATGAAAGATTAGGGGGATAATTATCACTAACCCCATAATACAGGGGTTTTTTGTAATTACCCAAAAATAAAAGGTTTTGAGAGAGATTTATAAAATTTTTAAGAGAAAGGGAGAAAGGTTGGATTTGGCTCAACTCAAAGCCAACTTCAATTAATGGGTTAGGATTAGGGTTGGGGGTTCAGAAGTTAGAACCTCAGGTTGGGCACCTCAACCCGAACCCCCTAGCCCAACCTGGCCTGACTTGTACCCCTGCTCTGGACTGGAGTCTGGACCGCCCCATCCACTAATTGAATGCGTGGTGCAGGAACGATCCAGATTACCAAAGGAAGGTCATGGCCTGCTGCACCATGGGTGTTTATGTTCTGGAGCGTGATCGCCAAAACAATCGGCAAGGACCCCAAGCTCTTGCAGAGCCTTGGTGGAAATCATTCCATTTTGAGCTGCATACTGTGATCAAGGACACAGACGGCAACATCTTCGGAGTCATACTTGAATTCAACCCCCAGACCAATCACAAGCAGTACTCACGGCAAGGTGCTCCAAGATATGTGATTGCCTTCAGAGGCACCATCCCCCAGTCCGACTCCTTAATCCGAGACTTGAAGTTGGATTTCAATATCATCATGAACGAACTTCACCTGTCCCCCTGCTTCCATATTGCAGTTCGATGGGTTGAGCAGATGGTGGCTACCAAGGAGATTATTTGGTTAACTGGTCATTCTTTAGGGGCTTCAATGGCAATGCTCGCCGGGAAGAAGATGGCCAAGAATCATGCAACTTATCTTCCGGCTTTTCTGTTCAATCCACCATTTCCGTCATTCCCAACCGAAATGATCAAGGATAAGACTTTAAAGAACAAAGCTCGAAAGGTGAAAAGCATCTTGAAAGCTCTACTTGCTAAGATGGTGAAGCCTGAACCTGAATCTCCATTTGCTGCCTTGTTTCCATGGATGCCGCATCTGTTTGTCAATCCCGAGGATCATATCTGCATGGAGTATAAAGGTTATTTTGAGCATAGAAAAGTAATGGAGGAATGTGGAATGAAGAAGATAGAGCAACAAGCAACCCAGTATACGGTTGGAGGTCTGATGCGGAGTGCAATTGGGAATGGAGCAGAACCCTTGCATCTCATTCCCTCTGCAAATTTGTTTGTTAATCTTTCACCTGTTGAAAAACCTCATGCCATTAAGCAGTGGTGGATGCCCAACATGCAGCTGCAGCGCACAGAATATCGCTACAAATAACAGGCCAAGCAGCTGGAGCTGGAGCAGAAGACGAAACTGCATTAAAAAGGGAAAATGGAAATTATTGTACTAGATTGGGGATCATGACCAGTACAACCCAGAGACAGATTTTAATTACTTAAAACAGACGTATAAAAATTGATTTTACTTCTGTACTGTAGATCTAAAACTGGTTTTACAGATTTTGTTTTACTTCGATAGACATAAAACTACTGATTTTAATTCATAGAGAAGGAAATCAAGTGGCCCCTATTTGGTTAGCAAATGAAGGGCATGGAGTAGTTATTTTACTTCAATAGGTAAAAGACTTAAACCTCCCCTGAGTTTTCCTATAAATACTTACACCCCTCTCCTATAATTTCTAACAGTCCCCAGCCCATATAAAATGCAGCTATATTTGACTGAATCAATAAAAGGATATTTTTGTCCTTCAATATGTATCAAACTTTTAGGGTGAACCACTGAAACTACTCCATCTGAACTTTCTACTACAAATTGTCCCAAATGGACAGATAAGGAGACATTGTGTAACCCGCCATTTCTAAATTGGCCAAGCTCTAAGATGGAAATCAAATCAAATATTAATTATCAACATTTTTCAAAATCTCTCTCTCTAATGGTATTATGGATTCAAACAAAAATGTTGAGTTTAAGTTTCATTGTCCAAGAAAACTTCTGGTCTCTTTCATCTTTCTGCCACTGACCGCCTCAAACCCAATGGTGATGTTATTCAGCACAGCACTGTCTCACGGCATTGGGAAGTTTAATTTTTTCAATATTTTTTATTTGTAATTTTCTAAAGGGAAAAGTGGATTTTTGAGAAAATATAAGACCAATATGACGTCAAGTCAAATGGGATATGGAGGATAGTTAAGAGAGGGGTATTATTTGTCTGATGAAAGCCTTGAGTCCTATCACAAATTATAAGTATTTAGGAGAAAAGTTAGGGGAGGTTTAAGTCTTTTACACTAATAAGATTTAAGAAGGGCCCTTCGAACTCTCGCGGGAAACCCCATATACTTAGCAGGCACACGCCTTAACCACCCTTTCATTCATATTTTTTTATCAATAATTAAATTAATTTAAAATATCATTTTATTTTTTTATTATCATTTTTTTTTTCATTTCTTTGTAAGATTTAACCTCAGTTATCAAACATAAATAGCAGGTGTTGGCGTGTTGCACCTTTGCATGTATCGTGGGCAATGGAAACTCATTTTCAATTCTCTAATATTGATTTTTTCAATGATAAAATGATTTCACTATGGGAGGTGAAATTTTCTTTAAGCAAAGGACAAATACTAATATTGCATTACCATATACAGAGAGAGTATATAATATATTTTGACTTACTTCATGCCGGACTGACTAAGGGGGTGCCAATGGATTAGGTTTTAAAAAATTAAGTAAAATAATTAATATTTTATTGACAAAAATATTAAAATGTGAAACAGATAATAGGGTAGTCTTTCAGGGAAAGTGTGAAATAGGTGATCAAAAATCAAGTGTGAACGGTCCCTAACCATAAGATTTTACTGTGGATGAGAAATTGGGGTGTGGACAGGACCTGTCCACGAGATTTATGTGGTTCTGAACACCACCTAAATGACTATGGGTAGGGTTGTCAATGAACCAACGCAATCCGCTCCAATATGAACGTTATATTATAGATGGATCAATTACAGTTCAATCTGATGAATACTTTGGACCGTTTCTGGACTGGTCCAATTTAATGTTTAGATCATCCAATTTGTTCAAATTGGTTTTAAATTTTTAATTTAGATTGAGTCCAACTCAAACCTAATACATTGGCACCCATACTCTTATCTTCTATCAATAGATTGGATATTGGTTCAATCTAACTTAATCTAATATAAACCAATTACAAATGGATCAGGTCCAACCTAACCCAATAAATAATTTGGACCATTATGTTGGTTCATTCAGCTCATTTAAATTGATTTTGATTCGGATGAAACGAACATAGAGAGCTGAATAGTTGATCGAACATGGCAGTCGGTGAAGCAATAGGAGAAATCTGGTAGGTGAGGTTGATGATGGTGCATTGAAGTCAACTAACCAAAGCAAAGAGAAATGATGACCATTGCTAATGTCTTACAGGGACCAAACAATGGAGATCGAAGAGATAAACAAATCTTGGCTGGGATAAGAAATGAGAAACGGTTGGGTTATTATGGGTTGTGGCAACTGGCAACACTAGTTGCAATGCGATGTACGAGAATGGATCATTTCTTTTATAAGTTGAACATTGTTCTATTACGCCGAAATGAAGGTATGAGTTCTCTACCCCTATCGTGGCTATGAGGGAATCAGTGGACAACAACGTCGTGGTTTCTGAGTTGTTCCAGCCAAAAGGGTAAATATGAGATTTAAATCATTTGGAATATGTGTAATGGGGTAATTTCGTAACTTCCTTGTCTCCGTTATCGACCAAATGAGGGAAGGGAAGGGAGGTGATTATCAATTTATTGAAATGTACAGGGTCGTTTTTTGTTTTAGTCAAAATATAGGGGAGATTTTTATGATTGCCAAAAAAAACTAAGGAAGGTTTTTAAATTTCCTATTTTTTATTAAGGAAGTATTGAATGATTCTGTGCAACCGAAACAGCCTTGAAAGCTATTTCTCTTTTACCTTTTTCCAAAAATCTGAAAATGGGATCAGCAACATCATCTATCAGGCTCATCCACATAAGCTCCCAATGAGAATCATAAAATTTTGATTTGAATTCTTTTTATGAATTCTCTTAAATTTACTACAACTTTTCAAAACGTCGAGGAAACCCCATGTCAGTGAGTTTTATTTTCCAAAACTCACCTTCCGTTAGTGCACCGTTAATGTTTCTTAACATAAATGGTCATGTCAACATAAATAACATTTTTCATGACCAAATTACCCTTAAATGGCAAGTTAGGGGAAAATGGTCATTTAGGTTAGGATTAGACCTAAATTCTCTCTCTCTCTCTCTCTCTCTCTCGCTTAGATCTGGCCGCTGCACCACCTTCTCTTGCTCAGTTCTTGAAGGTAGTCACTACATCACCCTCTCTCTTACTTAGATCATGCCGCCGCCATAGCACCTTCTCTCTCGTTCTTGAAGGTAGTCGCACCACCCTCTCTCTTGCTCAGATCTTACTGCCACACCACCCTCTTTAGATCTTATCACCACACCACCCTTTCTCTTGCTCAGATCTTGCCGCTACACCACCCTCTCTCTTGCTTAGATCTTGCCACCGCACCACCCTCTTTCGATCTTGTTGCCACACCACCTTCTCTCTCACTTAGATCTTGAAGGTAGTCGCCACACCACCCTCTCTCTTGCTCAGATCTTGCCCCCGCCGCATTACCCTCTTCAAATCCTGTTGCCGCCATAGCACCTTCTCTCTCGTTTGAAGGCCGCTGCCACACATATCTATTGTTTGAAGATCTACTGGTTTGAAGATTTGATAGAAGACGATCATAAATTTCAAAGATTTTTGATGTTTTGAAACATATGCAATGTACTCTTTTGAATCTGGAATGTAAATCCCTATTGAGGGTTCTACAAATTTATGCAAAAAAATATTTTTGTAATTGTTTATCTGAAATATTTTTGAAATTTTGTTGCAACAATCTTCGAATTCAATGTCTAATTTTTTTTATTTTTTGAAAAATTTTATCATTTTATTAGTTTGTTTGTACTTTTTGATTTTTTTCTAAAATATATAATCAAAAAATCTTTTTTTTTAATTTTTGCTTTTTGAGCTGATACTTTTAAATTTTTATCATTTTATGTATTTTTGTGTAGGTTTTTATTATCTTTGAATTTTTATCATTTTATGTATATTTGCAATTTCTTTTTTATCCAATCTTTATATTTTTCGAGTTTCTTTTGTCTTTTTCAGTTTTCATGCAATTTTTTTGTTTCTTTTTGGCATTTTTAGTGTTTTGTTATAATTTCCAATGTTTTCTTCTAATTTCTGTTTTTTTACATTTTTCTATTTTCTACAATCTATAATTTTTTTCGTATTTTTTGTTATTTATTTGCAATATTTGTGTTTTTCTATAATTTTAGATGTTTTCAATTTCTATAGTTTTTTATATTTTTTTTTGTAATTCCTGTGTTTTTATGTATTTTATATTTGAAAATATTTTTTGAACATTTTTCTTATTTTTCATGTTCTTGTAATTAAAATATTAAAATATATAGGTATATATTTTATATTTTTCTATAAAGGGTAAAGTGGTAATGTGTTAACTCCCATTTGTCTATTTAACATCAAGTTAGTAACATGGTGAGTTTTGGATGTTTTGAAAAGTTGTGAATTTAAGAGAGTTCATAAAAAGTGATGGTGGGTTTTAGACAATTTCCCTAAATTAAAAGAAATACAACAAAAAATGAGAAAATATAACCATAGGAATGTACGTGCATTAAGGCTATATTTGGTTTGAAGGAAAAAATAAGGAAAAGAAGGAAAGGGTAGGAAAACCTATAAAGGTTAAGGTGCATAGAGACAAGGAGCCACTCCCCATCCCTATTCTTGTGAAAATCCCCATCCTTGTTCCCGTCTCTATGGAGATCTCCACTTCTCATGATATTTTTTTTTATGATGTCAATCATTTTGCTTTTATTTAAAATTTACAATCCTATTAAAAAGATACAAATTTATTCAAATTTATAATCCTATTAAAAAAGCTACAAATATATAAGTAGGGATGCCCATAGGAAGGGGATCAGGGCCCATGGGGTGGGGAAAATTTCCATCCCTACCTACTTTTTCCTTCAAACCAAACACGGCTTAAAGGTATGTTCAAAGTTCAAACCATTTAAGATAATTGTGGGTAGGAATGGAAAATTTTCCTATTTCCCCAATCCCCATAATGAGTGACCCACCCCATTCGAGGTGGTGATGGGGATGGAGAAATTTTCATCCCCATTGGTGGGGATGGGGTGGGGATGGGGATTCCCCACCCCGATAGGGATTTTCACGGGAATGAGGATGGGGATAGGGAGTGGCTACACGTCCCCATGCACCCCACCCCGTTGCCATTAGGAAAGTACATTAAAGATGAAATCATAGAAAACACAGGAAATACAACAAAAATAAATAATAAAAGAAATACAAAAGAAGAAAATATAAAAAACATTGAAAGCTTAAAAAAAAACAAAAAACAGAACACAATGAATAGAAAATTGAGAAAAAAGAACGTAATACACATTTTCGTAATGTTTGCCGTCAAACCCATTAACGGGTTACGGGGCATACAATCTAAAAGTTGAAGTGGATCTTTGTGACAAACCTAAAAGTTCAGGGGTTTGGTGTGACAAGCCATAGCCACCCTTTTATTCTTAACCTTTTTATGATTAACCCTTTTTTAATAGGGAAAATCTATGATGCAATCTAAAAGTTGAAGTGGATCTATGATTAATCCTTTTTATGATTCTGGTTTATTGGTTAGTTGGTTTTCGGAGATCATATTTTTGGTCTGGGTCTGCGACAATATGGGCTGGGCCAGTTTGGCGTTAAACGTAAAAGCAGAAATCGTCGCCTGAGAGATTCGAACTCTCGCGGGGAAACCCCATGTACTTAGCAGGCACACGCCTTAACCACTCGGCCAAAGCGACTATTTGATATGAAATGTTTTAACTATTAACATTCTAACAATATGTAATACCACTTTAAACTCTTAACCCTTCATTTTAAACCTGTTTCATATAATTTTGATGATGTGCCAGACTTTATACACTTCTGGTGATTTAATGACCGCCATGGCGACTCATTAGAGTCATAGCAACTTGCGGCAAGATGGACATGGCTCCAAGTTTTTAACATCAAATTTTCAATATAAGTAATTAGCAAATGTGCACATGTAAGGATTTAGATGATGATCAACAATGACGATGATATATAATAATAATATGTGTTCAAAATTTTTCTTTTTTTCTTTTTTTGTTTTTATTTAATATGATGAATACATAAAATTAAAGTTGTACCAAAATGTTTTCCACAGTATTTGTGTTTTTAGTTTGTCATTTTTTGTTTTTTTATCTTTTTAAATTTTTATTGGTTAATGATAGTATCGAGGTTTGACACATTTAACCTAAAAGGTTGAACTGTTGGTAGTTGACTTGTCACTAATCATAAAACAATTTCTTACCCACCATGTGAATGGAAGAATAAACTTGTTTTTAGGTCAATTTTAAAACATGGAGCTTATCTTTACTATTATAAAAAGTGAACATAGTTGCCCAAGTCTAGACTTTTTCTTGACTAAAATATCATTTCTTTTGAATTTGGTTCTTCTACGAGGGTAGAAATTGTAAACTCATCATTAAAATTGACCTAGAAATGAAACTAGTGTTCTTCAAGTGATGGGTAGATTAATATTATTAGAAATAAAATATTATTATTTATTTAAATAAAGAAATACAAATATTTATTAATTAATAATAATGTTACTTTATTATTATTAAATAATATTAAATAAACTATTATTATTAAATATTATTACTAACTATTATTTTTATACAAATAAAAGTAACTTTATTTACTATTTAACTAATAGTTAATATTTCATACTTATTATTATTATTAAATAATATTTTATTATATTACTTACATATTTTTTATGATTTAATTAATAAATAAATTTATTATTATTTTTTTATATAATATTTTTAATCTTATGAAAATCATCATCATCATCATTATCATTATTATTATTATTATTATTATTATTATTATTATTATTATTATTATTATTATTATTATTATTATTATTAAATATATGACATTTATGATGATATTAACATCATTTTATCACGTCTGAAATGCATCTGATTCTAGTAAGACATGAAAATCAAGCCTTACCATTTCAAATGTTTTTTCTCTTTTTAGATGTTAGAAATAGATGTAATTTCAAATGCCCCTTACCTTTGAAAAGCAAGTTTTAGATGTCTAGTGTCTCAAAAGTGTTATAAAACACCACCATAGTTATGATATTCTCCTCTTCCTTATTGGCAATCCCTAGAATTGCAGTATCGATCACCTTTAGCCTCCCAACATATAGAATATGTTAATTACATTAATTCAATAATAACCTCATTCATTGCATATCAAAGTGACTGATCATTATATACTATCATCTTGAAATTCACTTTGTTCCAAAGGTAGAAAATCTTTGCATCTGTGTGATCCTAATGTCTAACAAATCCTATGATTGATTGAACCCAATTGGTGAATATCAGTGTGCATACATACACCCACGTGGTAGTCTGAAGTCTCACTCCGATAGTTGAGATATCATTATTAACAATCCATATGCCAACCATAAAGCGAACCAGCCAATTTAGCCATTTAAATTTCTTGTACCGAGTCTCACCCATTACCAAATTAAATGCTCTACAATGTAACCTCTAGACTAAAGATTACCAAACAAAAATAAATAATAAAAGAATTCTTCAAAAGGCCAACTGATGATGGTGGCTCAGTTGGTAGGTTCTCTAATAGTAGAGACTTGAGATCAAATCCCGGGGGTTAAGGGAAAGGGGATGGATTACTCCTCTTGTAACCCATGAAGCGGAAAAAAATGAAAATACCATGTTTCAATATCTTATCTTTGTTATTGGCTTTAATAACTATTAAGGAAAACAGCCTAAGGCGGTTGTTTAGAGCCGGCGCTGCCCTTTCTCCTGCTGCTACTGCTGGTAAAGCAAAACTAACTTTAACTCTAACCCCTCTCTCTGTCTGTCCGGTTCTTTGTTCTTTCCTCTCTCTCTCTTACTGTCTCTATTTTCCGTATATTTGTAACCCTGATTCGAGCAATATGTGGAGTTTATATTTTCCGGTTCTTCTCTATTTTCCTCTCTCTCTCTCTCTTACTGTCTCTATTTTCCGGTTCTTCTCGAATTCCCAAAAAATTTATTGGAGTTTATATTAATTACTCTGGTTCGAGCAATATGTGTGAAAAAGGTTGATTGGTTAGATTCATTTGATTCATTTGGCTAGGTAAAAAGGCTTCTTTTCTTTTTTCTTCCTCCATAACATTTTATAGTTTTTCAATCTCCTTTATATTATTTTTTGGGAATTCGAGAAGGCTTATCTGGTAGTGCCCCTATAAATTAAATGAAGAAAAATTTCCTGCTGGTTTTTGCTGAATATCTTTATTCCTCTGAATAAATAAGATGATTTTTCTTTAATTTCTTTTTTATTACTTATGTTATTATCTGTGAAGAAAACTTTTAATTTCGGTTTCCCATTTCCCAATTCTGTGACTGATGTTACCACAACTGCTTGGAAGAAAGACAGTTCACAAGCAATTAGATAAGTTATATTAAAGGGACAATTCCGTTGAGAGAATCCTAAAGACAAAAATTCAATAACTTGTTAATGGAAACAATTCTTCCAAATGGATTTACTAGCCCCTGCACCCAACAAAACCCAAACACCCCATGGAAACTAAAAAGAATTTGGAATAATGGAAATGAGTAAGTTTTCTCCCCTTTACTTGTTGAACTCCACACCCAAGGTTATATTAGAACAATTAACTTGGGACTCCGCAAATAAATGTGAAAAAAAAAATACAAAAACAGAGCATAATACAAGTAATCAAGATTTCAGATAATTGGTTTCTCCTCTTATTTGATAAGTTCTAGCCACATTCATACCTTGGGAACAGGTTTCAGTCATAATTTCCCATATTTCTTTGTTGTGTCCATCCACATGAAGTTGCGGCCAATATGTGGCTTTATTGAATTCACAGGCTGGAGATGGCCAAATAATTCTCTTACATCCACTTTGAATGTGAAGAATCAGATTTCTCTGGTTTGGGATGATCCAATAATATACCCTAACTTGCCCCTACCACCAAAATAGATGCAAATGGATTGGGACCACTCTAAGGAGTGTTTCAGGGTCCATCTTTCTTCTTTACTACTTTTTTCTCTCTTACTATGGCTCTCAAGGATCAAGCATGTATTAAACCTGTTTAGAGAGGCTATTATTTTCTAAGAAAATAGGTCTTTTTCTTCATTTGATAGAAGAGTTTAAGATTAGAATAAACCAAAATTCTGATATTGCACAAAAATTCCCACAGAGTTGATTAACCTTTAACCAGAAAAGGGAAAGAGAAAAAGAAAGAAAAGAAAAAAAAAATATGTAAGCAATGGCTGATCACATGGTAAGAGGTTCTCAACTGCATTAAAACAAATCAGCAGTATATTCTTTTGTTGTTAACATGGAAAGTTTTAGTGCATATGACTAAGCAAAATCATCCATTTGATTAGAAACAAATCTAAACATCTAGAAAATGCCATTAAAGTCCAATTAACCAACAATAGTTCTGTCAAAACATTTTGAGTATCTTGTCTTGTACCATCTGATCATGGTGGTTACTGGTTGGTCAAACAATAGTATCCCTGCAACTAGAGAGACAAGGCAAGACCCACAAATGTTGACAAAGAGTTCAAAGAACCAAGTAATCGGGCTTTCAACCAACAGATGCTAAGACCCAATATAGCTAGATGAACTCAAAACAACCCAAAATTTACATTATTCTCATGCCCAAATATAATCTCCATATGTCTATGTTGAACGATTGATGCAAACATCCATGATGAGAGACCTATTCTTTCCTGTAACATGCGGTTCAACTTGTGCTGATCCACCTTGTTCCCAGTTTAATTGATTGGTCAGCCAAACATGCCCAACTGCTTTGGCTTCAAAATGGCTGGCCAGAACCCCAAACACCTATTGAGAGAATTGCATGTTGGACATTTGGAACTTATGCTTATTTGCTTTTGTTTCTTCTTTTTCTATTTCTTTTCATTTTCTAAATATCTTCTGTTGTTGTACACAGATAGACTCTCGGCTGGTCATAGAAGATGCTATTAAAACTTTCAAAGTCTTCAGTCAAAGCTTAAAGGGTACTAGAAAGTTTCAATCTGGAATGGAAGTTGCTATTTGTTTGTGAAAATTCATTGTGAGTGATAGTAGTAGGCAAGTTTTTTGGTTATTATCTAGGACGCACACTGAAGAACCAAGTTCTTTCATGGTTTGCTATCTATAATTTGATTTGGAAGTTTGTAGGTATGTACCCCAGAAGAAGAATGTAGATTTTCCAAAATAAGTGAGCTTTTTGTATATGAGAACTTCAGTAGGGTTCCTGTAGAGAGAGTGGAACCAAGTTCAAGGCTTATGCTTTGAAATATCTGTTAAGATGAATCATTAAGATGCTTTGAAACATCAGTAGCGTTCTTGTAGAAAGGACAGCCTTTTAGCTATCCTTTCTGTATGGCTGTTAAGATGAACCATTAAGATGGTTTGAAATATCAGTAAGATTTGGCAAAAATTTCCCAAATCTCCCATTTAACCATTTTAATGGAGTGATACGAACATTTCCAAGAATGTGTTTGCTTTAAATTGAATGTATTCTTATGAAAACATTAATATTTCAAGTAAAGACTCATACCTTATTTTGCCTGTATTTTTTGTACATTTTCTTTAAAAAGTATGCATTTTGTATAAGATAGAGAGAATTCAACCTTTTCTTTGAGAAGACAAAGATTTTTAGTTTGTTCTGAATCATTCTTGTCCTAAACTGATCATTAAGGCCATGATTAAATTGGGCTGTATTTTGTTATCATTAATAACAGGGCTAGAAAAGCTAATGAAAAATTAAATAGAAAAGCTAATGAAAATTAAGGAGCAGGGCTATAAATAGCAATTACTATAACTATGTCTATGTCTTTTCTCTCTGATCATCAATCTTGTCATGACCATTCTATTTGTTTTCCAATTTTTATTTAAGAAGGCAAGAAGTATGATTGATGTTGAGTCAAACCTGACTCACGTGTAAAATGATTTTCTAATGTTGAATGTGGCAGGGCAGAATTGGGGCCGAGTGGATAATTTCAGATATAATTGCTGTTTTATATGTGTGGATGCTTCTCTCCCTGTGTTAGATCGATGATATGTGGAAAAGCGAGTAGACAGCATGATGATATTTATAGCCTGACTCAGATTACACTCGGGGGTTGCGGCAGGCTATTGGTGTACGCGAATTTGAAGATTTTCTTAGAATATTTCATTCCAATACAAATGCATCTCATTCTTGTATGACAGATGCACATTATGACTCAAGTTCTGGGGGTGGCACGAGTACATTGACAAACAAGGGAAATAGAGAATTTGAGGGCTATTTTGGATTTCTCTGATGATGACTATTACAAAATTATCTTACAAGAAGCTTTTGACAAGCTAAAAGCAAATACCAGAAGACTTGTTCGTCGTCAAGTATGTGTACTACTGTCACATCTTTATGTGTCATGCTTTCTTACTTGCACATGCATTCCTGGTTAAGGCATGATAAGCATACTTATCATACTGTAGTTCAATTTTTAGAAAGAATTGGGTATATTTTTTGCTTAGTACAACTCACCTCAAAGCTCAGCTCAGCATTGATCCCCAACTTTCTAGGATTGGTCACATGAATCGTCTTCTGTCATTGTTCTGTATCAGGAGCCAAATTTTATGTCAAATAATACGCTCTTAGATTATTTTCAGCACTTAAACCCATGCTTTTCTTGGTATTCTCCTTGCTCTTTTAGAACCTTCTACTTGCATCAAATTATTCCTATTGGTGCAATTATTAGTCATATATGCACCAGATCAAACCATCTTGGTCAACTTTTACTCATCTTGTCACTAATTGGAACTACTCCTAGTTCTCTTCAATGCACTTAATTCTTTCCTTTCTAATCTTTTCACTCATCCATCTCAACATTCTCATCTTGTTCATGGTTGAAAATGTCTATATATTTCAACAACATATTTCCATTTCCATGGGTACTGATATGAAATATTATTGGAATATATCTTGACAAATTTCCTAGTGCATTTAAAATATTTTATATTGTATATATTGGAGTTATCATTAATAACAGGGCTAGAAAAGTTAATGAAAAATTAAATAAAAAAGCTAATGAAAATTAGGAGGCAAGGTAATGAAAATTACCTCGTGATGCCTTGTATATATTCTGAGGATAGAGGACCGGCCCATAGATAGGTTGTGATGGGCTGCGAAGGTCGAAGAGGGTACCCACGCGTAACCCAAAGTACGTGGACTGAAATTGGTCCATGCATACCCAGCCCATCACGTATGGCCCATGCAAGCCCATGTAGCGGCCCAACAGAGCAGGAACCTAGAGAGCAGGATTCGGCCAACCACAAGAAGCGGTCAAGCAGTTAGTTGTTGAGGGTAGCTAGTCTCAAGCATGTTGTTAGCAGTTAGCTGGTCTTAAGCATAAGATTGAGTCAAATAAGTTATTTTTTATTTCTGTTAAGTTGTTAGTATGAGAAGGCCTTGGGATCGGCTAGGTAGTTAGAGAGCTAATCCCTTACTTTGAGGCTATCTCAGTGGTAGGAAGTTAGGAAGTTTTTGTATTTAAAGACCACCTCACCACATGGTGAAGGCAGTCAAAAATCAATAACCTTTTGTGGTTTTATTCTCACCTTAAGAAGAATACCCTTTTTATCCTTCTAGCTTTGACTGGGACCTATCATTGGTATTAGAGCCAGGTTCCATGGCAACCAACAATGAACAAATTGAGAGTTTGGAAGTTGGGCTTGGAGGACTCCAAGCAAGTTTGAGTAGGCTCGAGTTAGGTGTTAATGACAAGTTACACCAGCTTGAGGCTGTTATTAGTAAGATGTCTGAAGTCTTGTTGGCACGGCAGGAACCATCTACGAGCCACGCTAATGAACGCAGTGGACAGTCCTCCTACGGACAGTCCCGTGACAATACAGAAGGAGGTCGATCCACGTTTTCCTCAAAGTTAGCCAAGCTCGAGTTTCCCAAGTATGCAGGTGATGACCCAACCGAATGGTTCGCCCGTGTTGATTAGTTCTTCGAATACCAACACACCGAGGATCCACAGAAAGTGTCACTAGCTTCCTTCCATTTGGAAGGAGAAGCAAACCAATGGTGGCAATGGCTTTGCCGGACCTATTCGAAGACGGAAAGGAGGTAACGTGGAAGATTTTTGTAGAAGAACTCTGGGCCCATTTCGGCCCAACCGACTGTGAAGATTTCGATGATTCGTTATCCAAAATACGACAAACGGGGTCTCTACGTGACTATCAGAAGGAGTTCGAACGACTGGCAATAGGGTGCACAGATGGACCCAGAAGGCGCTAGTCGGTACGTTCATGGGAGGGCTCGAAACTGACATAGCCGACGGGATTCGGATGTTCAAACCGAAATCCTTGAAGGAGGCTATCAGCTTGGCCAGAATGAAGGATGAGCAACTGCGTCGTCAGGAGAGGACTCTGCGTGCAGCTACCAGGACCGCCGATGACTCTTTCCCGACAAAGACGAAGACCACCCCATCATTGAAATGTCTTTCTTGGGCAGAGATGCACGGAGGCATGCTCAAGGTTTGTGTTTTAACTGCGACGAGAGGTTTGAGTCCGGGCATAAATGCAAGAGACCGCAACTATTACTGCTCGACGGGAACTGTAGCGACGACGAACCAGAAGATGCTAAACAAAGCTTCACCGGATTGCACAGGGAGCCGGAAATATCTCTACATGCTCTCACGGGTTGGTCGGCAACTAGAACCATGTGCGTCACGGCCAAAGTAGGATCACACGAACTGATTGTTCTCATTGACAGTGGATCCACCCATAACTTCATCAACAATAAGATAGCCGAACTGCTGCACCTACCGGTAATACCTACCGAGC